ATGGTTTAGTGGTGGACTTGGCAGTGACAGGTTAACGGTTGGACTCGATGATCTCAAGGGTCTTTTCCAACCTCAACGGTTCTATGATTCTTGCAGAGTTCGGTTTCCCCTCTCTGTTTTGTGTTGGGTCAGTGTGATTTAACCGGCGGCCCCCAGAACGCTTCCCCATAGACACATACAGCACCTGCCCCGCGGAGGGTGTGCAGGGGAGCACTCCCCCTCCTGCTGTTGTCTCGTGCGTGCCGCTACCCTGGGCGATGGTGGCAAAGGAAAGGGCGGCAAAATCCTTCGAAAACGGACATTTGGGGAGGCCAAAGCTGCTACAGCAGGTCTGCCGCCTTAGATCTTTTTTACCCAAAGAGGTGTTTTGGAAACGAGGACTGCATCTCTGCTTCAGTGTCACTGTCAGGAACATTGCCTCGGTATTGGACCTTTCCCAGGAAAATCAGATTTATGCTTGGTGCGGGAAATACCCGCCGCAAAAATACTCAGCTCATCAGAGAACACATGCTGTTCTTCTGCTGGGAATGAGTATGCATCTTACACTTCTGGTCTCCTCTGTCTGTCTCCTTTTCGCATTAATAAATGTTTATCATCTCCTTAAGAGGTGGATGAGTCCCAAATCTGCTTCCTCAAAAAAACTCCACCTCTTTGCAGCTCGTTGGAGTCCAGCCTCTCCGTGTCGGAGGCTGACGTTCAAATCCTCCGACCCGGAGCTTAACAAAGAAAGCAAAAGAATTGTCCACGGCCAGTTTTGTCACCCGTTTTTGGTTTTGTTTCTGAGTCGAGAAGGAAGCTGTTTCTTTGACACTGTGCTACCTGGGGCTCGCCCCTGGAGCCGCGGGGAGAGGTCGCCAGCTGGCCCCGTGCGCTATTTTTTGATAAAAGCTGGCAAACGGGCGCCGCGCTTACGCTGGGGGGCTGCCGTCTTTCAGCGTCTTGCCGTGGGCTCCTCGCAGGGGTTACGGCAGCAGAAAGATGCTGCGCGGTGCTCACGCCTGTCTTAGCAACCCCAAACCCGCACGGACGCTATCTAGCAAAGCGGTTTAGTTAATGACTTTGGAGTACAATAGCTCAGCAGCAACAGTGTTGAACTTGTACAAAAAAAAGATCTTCCTAATTACGTGTTTGTCACGCTGGCTGACCCACGGCCACCTCAGGACGGGAGACGGAGGTGCTGGGAGGAGGCGGTGCC